CATTCTTGCTTCCTTGAGCTCAAGAATTCTTTACAGCCACACTATACTGCTTTTGCTTGCTGGGAGCTGAATGCACTATACCAGTCGTGGACAAACTTGGGCCCTTCAGGTGTTTTGGACTTCAACTCCCACAATTCCGAATAGCCTCAGGCCCCTTTCTTTTCCCCCTCAGCTGCTTAAGCTTAGTATAGAAGACTCTAGATGCTCTCTGAGGGTTCCTTTCAATGCTATAGAGTCATCTAGACTACTTGAGAGTCAAGTCTCCTTTGGGAGAGGGGTTGTACTGGATGCCCTCTGGAGGTCCCTTCCAACTCTATAAAGTCATATAGATTACTTGAGAGTCAAGTCAAGTCTCCTTTGGGAGAGGGGTTGGACTGGATGCCCTCTGGAGGTCCCTTCCAATGCTATAGAGTCATCAAGACTATTTGAGAGTCAGGTGAAATCTCTTTCAGGTGCAGGATCAGACTGGATGCCCTCTGGAGGTCCTTTCCAACTCTATAAAGTCATTCAGACTGCTTGGGAGTCAGGTCAAGTCTCCTTCAGGAGAGGGGTTGGACTGGATGCCCTCTGGGGTTCCTCCCAACTCTATAGAATCATCTGGACTGCTTGGGAGTCAGGTCAAGTCTTCTTCAGGTGAGGGGTTAGACTGGATGCCCTGTAGAGGTCCCTTCCAAATCTAAAGAGTCATACGGACTGCCTGAGAGTCAGGTCAAGCCTCCTTCAGCAGAGGGGTTGGACTGGATGCCCTCAGGAGGTCCCTCCCATCTCTAAAGAGTTATATATACTGCCTGGAAGTAAGGTGAAGTCCCCTTCTGGACAGCCTGTCAGGAGGGGGGTTGAGTGGTGCCTGAGGTTGGACTGGATGCCCTCTGGAGGTTCCTTCCTACTTTGTAGAGTCTTCTAGACTAAGGAAAGAGCCTGAGGCTGTTAGGAATTGTAGGAGCTGAAGTCCAAATCACCTGGAGGGCCCAAGTTTGCCCAGTCCTGCTCTAGAGTCCACCAAAGTCTACAAAAGCTTTGGCTTCTCTCATTTCATCTGTTATGGTCCTGCCAGATCCCTGTATTTTGCATCCTGATATCCCAAGATGACTTTGAATCTAGTCACTTTGTGTAAGTCTGAGCTTTAAGAAATTGTGTCCACCACGTGGTCCTGGAAGCGTGAGATGGACCGTTGGAGTAAAAAGCTTTTTGTTGTAATGTAAAGGAAAGAACACTTTGTGGCAGCAAGGCTCGAAAGTCCTCAGGCTGGGGCTGGAGGTTCATTAGTTCACAGCACAGAGCTTCAGCCTCAACATCTTCGTTTCCATTGCACTTCAGTTATTTTTTTCCCCAAACTCTTGTAGGCCTTATATCTAGTAATCTAGTATGCATCACACAGGAAGCCAAACAGAGGCTTATATTACTCTCACTGCTAGGTGCATCCTCCATCAGATTGCATGGCTGTGTCTAAGAAAGCACACTAGGAACCTATGCTAATTCTTTTTTGGGTCGTGTCAGGAGCGACCTGAGAAACTGCAAGTCGCTTCTGGTGTGAGAGAATTGGTCGTCTGCAAGGATGTTGCCCAGGGGATGCCCGGATGATTTGATGTTTTATCATCCTTGGAGCCCCTGGTGGCACAGTGGGTTAAACCCCTGTGCTGGCAGGACTGAAGACCGACAGGTTGCAGGTTCGAATCAGGGGAGAGGCGGATGAGCTCCCTCTGTCAGCTCCAGCTCCTCATGCGGGGACATGAGAGAAGCCTCCCACAAGGATGACGTATGCTAATAATATAATATAATACAATATATTGTATACACATATAATATTTATAATATTATAATGTATTAAAATATTAATATTATATATTATATAATATATTTATATTATTATATAATTTACATATATATATATATATATATATAATATTATAATGTAATACAGGAGTGAGAAAGGCGGTATATAAATACTGTAAATAAATAATTAATTATAATTATATATTTTATATTACATGTAATATCACTAATAATATTACAATATAATGATCTAGTACAAAATAGTAATATATAACACTGATACTGTACTATGCTAATAATATAATGAATTGTATGTATATATATCTTGTAAGCCGCTCTGAGTCTCCTTCGGAGTGAAAAGGACGGCATATAAATACTGTAAATAAATAATTAATTATAATTATATATTTTAATATTACATGCAATATTACTAATAATATTACAATATAATGATCTAGTACAATATAGTAATATATAACACTGATATTGTACTATGCTAATAATATAATGTATTGTATGTATATATATCTCTGAGTCCCCTTCAGTGTGAGAAAGGCAGCATATAAATGTCGTGAATAAATAAATAAATACATAAATTTTCCTAAGTTGTTGTGTTGTAAACTTTGGTATATTTCTACTTCCTTTTGTGGGGTTTCAACCCTGGACTGCTCAAGTCTCTTGTGTCATCAAGTCTCCAGTCCTCAAAAAGTAGCTAGAGATAGGATTAGGCTGAGGGATTCATCCCCCCAACCCCACCCCCTATTCCTATGTGTGTTTACCAAAAAGGGCTTTGTCTTTACTGCATTGTTGAAGGCTTTCATGGCCAGAATCACTGGGTTGTTGTGAGTTTTCCAGGTTGTATGGCCATGTTCTAGATGTATTCTCTCCTGATGTTTTGCCTGCATCTATGGCAGGCATCCTCAGAGGTTTGTCTTTACTCTTCCTCCTTGTCAATGCCTCCTCCTCCTTTGAAGATGTAGCAATGGAATCTCTGTGAGGAACTATTTTTATTACCTTGGGCTGGCCAGGTGTCCATTCACCACCATTGTCTCTTCTGCCTTTCCTTCCTTCTAGTGAGGACGCATTTTGCCTCTTTCTCTAGGCAAAATGTAGCTGCACTGATTTTTTTTTTACTTTTTACCCTTTTATCTCTTTAGAAGATGACATTTAATAAGCCGGTTAGCTCCAAGACCTTTCCTATCTAGAATGTATTTCTTTTACTTCAATAAATATTTTTGAACCTAAAGTTCTGACTCTGCAATCCTGTGCCATCCTAAGGAATAGAAGCGTATCCCAACTCATCACATGCAAGTTTCTCCTGGTCATGAAGTTTGCTTCTGGAACTTTGCTATATTTATGGTGGAATCACCCCAACTGAGCGTTATTTCTGAGCCTAAGAGCTCTGATTCCCCAACACCTTTATCATCTAAGTAGCATGTATCAAAACTTTTTGAAAACCCTCATTATATATTTATTTATTTATTCTTTAATTATCCTATTTGGACCCCACGTTTCTCTACCCCAAGGTGGACTCAAGGCAGCTTACATATGGCAATTATTAAATGCCTTAAACACATACAACATTAAGTTTAAAAGCCATTGAATTAAAATGAATCCATATTTTAAAAATGTAAAAATTACATTCAATATTAAAATCACGCCATTGAAAAATAGTAGTCTGAGGCCGTTCTGTAGTCACTGCACAAATTCTAATTATATTATACTAGTCGTCCCCTGCCACGTGTTGCTGTGGCCCACATGGGGGTTCTGTGTGGGAGGTTTGGCCCAATTCTATCGTTGGTGGGGTTCAGAATGCTCTGTGATTATAGGTGAACTATAAATCCCAGCAACTACAACTCCCAAATGTCAAGATTCTATTTTCCCCAAACTCCACCAGTGTTCACATTTGGGCATATTGAGTATTCGTGTAGAGTTTGGTCCAGAGCCATCATTGTTTGAGTCCACAGTGATCTCTGGATGTAGGTGAACTACAACTCCAAAACCAAAGGACACTGCTCACCAAACCCTTCCAGTATTTTCTGTTGGTCATGGGAGAACTGTGTGTCAAGTTTGGTTCAATTTCATTGTTGGTGGGGTTCAGAATGTTCTTTGATTGTAAGTGAACTATAAATCCCAGCAACTACAACTCCCAAATGACAAAATCAATTTTTTGAGTGAAGGACATACATTGGGTTGTTAGGTGTCTTGTGTCCAAATTTGGTGTCAATTCATCCAGTGGCTTTTGAGTTCTGTTAATCCCACAAAGGAACATTACAGCTTTATTTATATAGATTACTAGCCATCCCCTGCCATGCGTTGCTGTGGCCCACTCTGGTGGTCATGGGGGTTCTGTGTGAAAGGTTTGGCGCAAGTCTGTTGTTGGTGGGGTTCAGAATGCTCTGTGATTGTAGGTGAACTATACATTCCAGCGACTATAACTCCCAACTGTCAAGATTCTATTCCCCAAACTCCACCAGTGTTCACATTTTGGCATATTGAGTATTCGTGTAGAGTTTGGTCCAGAGCCATCATTGTTTGAGCCCAAAGTGCTCTCTGGATGTAGGTGAACTACAACTTCAAAACCAAAGGACACTGCCCATCAAACCCTTCCAGTATTTTCTGTTGGTCATGGGAGAACTGTGTGCCAAGTTTGGTTCAATTCCACCGTCGGTGGGGTTCAGAATGTTCTTTGATTGTAAGTGAACTATAAATCCCAGCAACTACACCTCCCAAATGATAAAATCAATTTTTTGAGTGAAGGACATACATGGGGTTGTTAGGTGTCTTGTGTCCAAATTTGGTGTCAATTTGTCCAGTACTTTTTGAGTTCTGTTAATCCCACAAACAAACATTACATTTTTATTTATATAGATTATTGCATTGCTTCTCCGAAGGCCTGGTCCCAGAGCCAGGTTATTACTCTCCTTCTGAAGGCTAGGAGGGAGGGGGATGATCCAATGTCACTAGGGAGGGAGTTCCACAGCTGAGGGGCCACCATTGAGAAGACCCTGTTTCTTGTCCCCACCAGTCGTGCTTGCGAAGGAGGTGGGACTGAGAGCAGGGTCTCCCCAGAAGATCTAAATCTCTGCTGTGGTTCATAGGGGGAGATATGTTCGGACAGGAAACCTCTGCCAGAATAATTTAGGGCTTGATAGTCTTTATAGGCTCATTATGCACATGCATAATTATGCATGTGCTGGAATTAATCCTGCCTCCTTATCTTTCAGGCAACCCTGTTACAGTGGGAATGAGCATCCACATCTCAAGCATTGATCAGATCTCTGAAGTCAACATGGTAAGTAATGGCGAAATGACAATCCAGGCGGGCTAGGTGGGGGGATTGTGAGGGGAAAGTGCCCAGAGGCTGGATTTTGTGCTCTGGGGCTTCCAAATGATCTGGCTGGTTCAACAAATGGAGGTCCAACAAGGAGCAGCACAGAGCAAACCCCTTTTCTTTGGGCCCAATTGAACCCCTGCCCCATCCCCATAAAGCTACTACGCTTGGGATCTCAAGGGGGATGAAACAGATCCTCTTGGATTGATGAGTTTCAGAAGGTCTTGATTGCTCTTTCTCAGGCTGGTCCAGATGAAACCCCACTGTCCTCCACAATCTTTCTGGCCATTGTTTGCATTGACAAGGGGTGGCGGGTAGGAGATCCTTCCTTCTCTTGCCTCCTGTGCCCAAAACACCTCATCCAGGGATGGAGTCAGGGTAGCAGATGCGACAGACATGTGGCCATCCTGTGAAATGCCGTCCTGTGCAGTCATCCCATATCTGTCTCTTGCTGTATGCCAGCCTGTTCAACCTGTGATTGTGTCTGATGTTCATGTTGATATTCATGATGGGAATGGGGATGGTGTTCATGTTGATGTTCCTGAAGACAATGGGTATGTTGATTTGCCTTCTGTGTCTGAGTCTGGGGATGAGAGGTCAGAGAGACCTGAGTTGTGCCAGTTGTGCCCATACCTTGGGAAGTCTGACTTGGCCACTGGTTACATCCCATATAGACTACTGCAATGTGTTCTATGTGGGGTTTCCTTTGAAGACTATTTGGAAACTTCAAATGGTCCAGCGGGCGGCAGCCAGATTGCTCACTGGAGCGGCACTCAGGGAGCATACAATTTCCCTGTTATGTCAGCTCCACTGGCTGCCAGTTTGCTTCCGGGCACAATTCAAAGTGTTGGCTTTAGCCTATAAAGCCCTAAACAGTTCCAACTCAGCTTACCTGTTCGAACGTATCTCTCCTTATGAACTATCTAGGAGCTCAAGATTGGCTGGGAGGCTCTGCTCTCAGTCCATCTTCTTCGCAGGTGTGCCTGGCGAGGATGTGAGAAAGTGCCTTCTCAGTGGTGGCCCCTCAACTGTGGAACTCCCTCCCTAGGGATGTTAGATCAGCCCTCTCCCTCCTGACCTTTCAGAGGAAAATTAAAAACTTGGCTTTTCAACAAGCCTTTGGAAACGCAGTGCAATAGACAAATATGGATCTACGTGGAACTTAATTGTCGAATGGTTCAGATGATGTTTTTGGACAATGAGATGAACTGTGAAGGCATTCATTTTATATGTTTTTAAATGGTTTTATTGTATGATTTTATACAATTGTTTTAAATGTTTTAAATTATATACTGTATATTGCTATGGCATCAAATAGCTGCTGAGTTGTAAGCCGCCTTGAGTCACCTTCGAGTTTGAGAAAGGGGGGATAGGAATATCGTAAATACATATATAAATAAATTCTCAAGGCCCCAGGCTTGCAAAAGGCTTTTTGCCGCAGTTATCTAGTCAGTTATTTGAGAATGAAGTTGATTCTGAGGTACCAGGTAGAGGAGTTAATGAAGGAAGCGAGATCTTGAATAGGAAAAGAAGTAAACAGAGACAGTCCGTGCAGCAATTAAGACGCTCAGCTAGACTTCAACAGAAGATAGAGAGCAAACCAAAACTGAGAAAGAATCCATTCCTAGCAGTTTTGGAGTCAGGGAAGAGTTTATAAATGCCTTGAGAGGAACAACTGCTTTAGTTGAAGCAACGCTGGATTAATGCCAAGTTTCCAGCACCAAGGTCTGCCTAGCTCATGTTTAGCCGATGGAATATGCTTCTGTATTGTTCGTGGATTCAAGTGCCTAGTTTCATGGATTTCCTTGGTCTCTTTGTTCCTGTCTTCTTTTATATCAATTGGATTACTTTTTACTGGTTTGGCTACATATATTTCTATATATTTTTCTGGCCAAGGTGCCTTGCTGTAGCTCCTAGAGGTGTTTCACTGCTCCTGCTTTGGAAATGCTGGTATCGAGCAAGAATTTGGAGGGTCTCGTCGACATCAACACCATTTGCACAAACCTCTCTTCCAGAGGTGCTTCAGCCATATTATACACAATCTGCTCAGTTTCTGTTGTTGTTGTTCATTTGTTCAGTCATCTCCGACTCTTCATGACCTCATGGACCAGCCCACGCCAGAGCTCCCTGTCGGCCGTCACCACCCCCAGCTCCTTCAAGGTTTCTGCAATGGGCCTTTAGCAGTTGAGGGGCGGATCACCAGAAAGAGCCATGTGGGATCAGGCCCCAGGCCTGTTTCAGCCAACCAATCAGTCCAGAGCAGTATTTTAAAACTGGAAATCCACTTTTTCCATCCCTACCACATGTGGCCAGAGTTATGGTGAGGTCTTACGCACATGTAAGTTCCCTCAGGGAAGCAGCATGACCTTTCCGTCCAAATGGGGAACGACTGCATTAAGCAGAAGGCTGTGGGAGCCCAGCTGGGCCTGCGGTGCCTCATGTGTGCGGATGTGACGAGGCGTGTGCAGATTTGGTTGTGCGTCCATTCACGTTGGGTTCTCTCGGTTCACTTGTGCAGAGTTGCCATTCAATGCAAAGGCTGTGCAGCCATCAGTGAGAAACTCTCTCTCTCTCTGGGGAGTTGTGGTTCCATTGTAGGAGGATCTTGAGCTGCATCTTTGTGTTAAGTTCTTGCAGCATAGGATGGTTTGAGAGTTCGTGTTGCAATTTGTCATAATGTATTAAAATTGCATCTACTGTGTTGGATTTCATTGGTGCCTTGTAGTTTTGTTGCATTAGCACTATTGTTTCTATTTACACAAAGAATATAATATATAAATTATGCGTTATAGTAAAGGTAAAGGGGCCCCCAAAGCAAACCTTTCAAGAAGATTTCTGAGGCTGAGGGAATGTCGTTGTATTGTATGTTGTTGTTTGTCGGCGGCCTTGGCCTTTGTAAGCCGCATCAAGTCCTTCGGGAGATTTTGCGGGGTATGAATAAAGTTAATAATAATAATAATAATGTCACCCAATCGAACCCTTGTTTCCAGAGTCTTGGGACCCATCTACAATGCATTATATGGTCAGTTGAGTAATATAATGTAGTTCATATAATGTAGTATAACTAAAAAGGTAAAGGTTTCCCCTTGACATTAAGTTTAGTGATGCCCAACTCTGGGGAGTGGTGCTCATCTCCATTTCTAAGCTGAACAGCTGGCGTTGTCCGTAGAAGCCTCCAAGGTCATGTGGCTGGCATGACTTCATGGAGCATTGTTACCTTTCTTCCGGAGCGGTACCTATTGATCTACTCACATTTTCATGTTTTCAAACTGCTAGGTTGGCAGAAGCTGGGGCTAACAGTGAGAGCTCACCCCACTTCCTGAATTTGAAACTTTCAGTCAGTAAATTCAGCAGATCAGCAGTTTAACCTGCTGTGCCACTGGGGTATACACACACACACACACACACACACACACACACAGAGTATATATATATATGAGGTATATCAGACATGTAACTAAAATATATATATTGTAAATCAGCCATGTTGGTTGGTGGTAGCAGGAGGAGGGTCAGCATGATCCATGCAGGTTGGTGGCTCTTCCTGGCACTGTATCTTTCTGCACACAAACACACAAGCATATCCATGACCAGTTCATTCTGGACAGCCTGCCTGCATAAAGCAAGGTAGCATTTTGTGCCTACTAGATCTGGAAAAGAGATTTTTGTCCAGGGAGGCGAAAGCCAGTAGCAGAAGCTACACAAGTAAAAGGGAAGATGTGAATAACGCTGCCACCCAGCTCCCAGAACCTCTCCATGGAGAAGCTAGGCACTTAATGATTTTTGCTCAGCTGAAATGTAAAGAGAGCAGCGGCCAAATTGTTGGCTTCAGTTGGCTAAAAGAATCATAGAATCATCAAGTTGGAAGAGACGTCATGGGCCATCCAATACAACCCTCCATCAAGAAGCAGAAAAAATTGCATTCAAAACACCCCTGACAGATGGCCATCCAGCCTCTGTTTTAAAGCCTCCAAAGAAGGAACCTCCACTACACTCAGGGGCAGAGAGTTCCACTGCTGAACAGCTCTCACAGTTCTTTCTCATGTTCAGTTGGAAACTCCTTTCTTTCCTGTAGTTTGAAGCCATTGCTCCATTGTGTCCTAATCTCCATGGCAGCAGAAAACAAGCATGCTCCGTCTTTCCTATGACTTCACATCTTGATCCATGGCTGTCATCATGTCTCCTCTCAGCCTTCTCTTCTGCAGGCTAAATATGCCCAGCTCTTTAAGCCGCTACTCATAGGGCTTGTTCTCCAGCTACTTGATTATTTTAGTCACCTTTTAGAAGTCCAACGATTTGACAGATTTGGAGATCCTCGCCCTCTATTTCTCTTGGGTCTCAGACATCTTGGAGAAGGAGATGGAGAAAGCACCTGCCCTCCAAGTTTAGTATTTATTACTGTTCAGGCTATTGGTTGTTTCTGATGTTGTTTGATATTGCTTATGATGTTGTTTTATACATTTTATTGCATTGTGTTTTTAATCTATGTCTGATCGGGCTTGTCCCCATATAGGCCACCCTGAGTCCCTTTGGGGAGATGGAGGAGGGATACAAAAATAAAATTGTTGTTGTTGTTGTTGTTAAGCACAACAAGAATCTGAAATGGGAATCAGCCGAAAAAGTTGACATTGCAGCATAGCAAACTCCAGGAGGGAGTGAAAACTCCAAAGAGCAGCGCAAACAGTAGGAATGGAAGGCTGAATTTGAGCACAGATCATGGGGCTGCTCAGTGCTGGACAGCTCCCTGCTGCTGCTGTATTGGTTATGGCTGCAATCCTAGTTGTGTATGTGGGGCGGGGGGAGGGGGGGGTCCTGGCCTCCCTCTCTGCATCAAAGGGGTTGAAGGAGAGAAATTGCCAGGTAATAGTTCTGCACCTGATCTTTCTAAACATCATTTGAAAGTCCCTCTGCACTTCGTTATAGAGCAGGCTTTCTCAACCTGGGGGGAGGGGTTCGAAAGA